GAATCGGTGCAAGACGACACATCAGATCTGGAAAACCTTGGAAGTATCACATGAAGGGACAATCGAGCTAAAAGAATCCACGATATATCAATTGGTGCATGAATATCAAATGTTCAAAATGCACCTAGGTGAGTCTATTTCTGATATGTATGTTCGGTTTAACTTAATAGTAAGTAGACTTAGTGCTTTAGGAAAAATTTATGATAATGCTGATTTGGTCAGGAAAATTCTTTCGTGTTTACCCAAAGAATGGATGCCTAAGAAAACTGCTATATAAGAGGCTAAAAATTTATCAACTCTTAGTATTGAAAACTTGATAGGATCCATAATTAGTCATGAAATTTCCTTAAAAGCTCAAGGTGACGAGGATAATAACAAGAAAAATAAAAGTTTAGCATTTAAGTCTTGTGAGAAAAGAGCCAAAAATTATGAAGGATCAGGAGATGATTTCAATCAAGGATTTTCTCTCATTTCAAAAAAATTCAATAAGTTTTTAAAATTAGAAAGAAAACAAGGAAGGGGCAGTTCCTTCTATTTTCGTGAGAATAATAGAAATGGAAAGGTAAAATCTTTTGATAATCAAAAGAAGAAAAATAAAGTGCAAAGTGAGTGTGAAGATCAAGGGTTACCAAAATGTTAAAAGTGTGGAAAAAGTGGCCATGTAAGGGCTGATTGTCCTAATAAAGGACGGAGTAGAGAAAAAGCCTATGCAGTGGCTTGGAGTGGATCAGAAGATGAAAGTGAAGATAACGAAAGTAAAATACAAGGATATAAGGCATTTTCCAACCGTGATGATGGATCCTCTTCATCAAGATCACACGAAGATGAGGTATGTTCATCCTTTCCAACTTATGATAGTGATTGTGGATCAAATCTTCGTAGTAGTATAGTTGAAGCTTATGAAGACATGCAAAATCACTTTGAAAAACTAAAAGATAGATACTACAAGGTTAAAGAGGATATGAAACTAAGTAAAAATGGAATTAAGGAATTAAAAGAAGATATTGCAACATTAAGTGATGAAAATCAATTTTTGACGAAATCAAAGGGTAAACTCAAGAATAATAAAACTCTTGAAGAGCTAGAAGAATTAAGAGTTAGAAATAATGAACTGGAAAGAATGATAATAGACTCTAGGACTATATACTTCTCGAAGCAAATACTAAGATGGAGCGATTAGAAGAAAAACACAAGGAAAAGAAGTATAAAGAAAAGGCGCAAAAGCCTCACAATAAATCAATTATGTGTGTTGAATGCTGCAATGTTCATAGTGAAGATAATGACAAAATTAGGTGCATGAATTGTGGAAAGAATCACCATAGTAAAGAATGCAAGAAAAACGTGAGGTGTAGTAAATGTACTAGACTAGGACATACTAAACAAGAATGTCATTCAAGAATTGTATGCTATTGTTGCCATAAACAAGGACATATTAGGAGAAATTGCTACTACAATAACTACTATAACTCATATCAATCATATCCCAAGAAAAAGGTACCCAAACAAGTCTGGGTACCAAAATCAACACTTTAAATATTTTGCAGGTCATTAAGAGAGCAGGAGCAAATGAATGGTATCTAGATAGCGGATGCTCTCACCATATGACGAGAAACAAGAGTCTCTTTGTAGAGTTGGCTCTTAAAAAGGGAGGTAAAGTAACCTTTGCTGATAATGGTAAAGGTAGAATACTTGGAGTTGGAACGATTGGAGAGCCTCCAAATCCTACCTTCACTCAAGTTTTATTTGTTGATAATCTTAAGCACAACTTGTTATCTATAAATCAATTATGTGGTACAACTAATAGAGTTGTGTTTCAACCAGAGGTATGTTTTATTGAGAGGATCAAAGACAATAAACTATTATTCCTAGGGGTTAGGAAAAATAATGTCTATGTCATTGATCTTAGTAAAAAGTATTCATTCAATGAAACCTGTTTTCTTTCTTTAGGTAAGAACAAGCAATTTCAATGGCATCGAAGACTAGGACATGTTAGTATAAAGAGATTGGCTAAATTAGCTAAATTGGGTCTAGTAGATGGTCTCCCTCAACTAAAAGAATCTAAGGACTTCTTTTTTGATGCATGTATCCTAGGAAAAAAACTCGAGCATCCTTCAAGAGTATATCTCACGTCACTTCATCTAGACCTTTAGAGCTCCTACAACTAGATCTTTTTGGGCCTACGAATGTGATGAGCTTTGGTGGAAAGTATTATGCCTTTGTCATAGTATTTTTCTATGTATACATGGGTAATCATTTTGACTCATAAAGATGATGCTCTTGAGAATTTCAAGACCCTTGTCAAAAATATTTAGAATGAGAAATCCCTCAATGTTAAAAGCATCAGAAGTGATCATGGAGGAGAGTTTGATTCAAAAAGCTTCGGAAACTTCTGTGATCAACTAGGAATCTCCCATGAATTTTGAGCTCCTAGAACTCCTCAACAAAATGGTGTAGTGGAGAAGAAAAATAGAGCTCTTATAGAACTAGCTAGAACAATGCTCAATGACTATAGACTTCCAAAATTTTTTGGGCTGAAGTAGTAGCTACAGCTTGTTATGTTCTAAATAGAACATTGATTAGGCCCATCATAGAAAAAACAGCTTATGAAATCTGGAACGATCGGCGGCCAAATAATAGTTACCTTAGACCATTTGGGTGTAGATGCTTTATACTCAACACTAAGGATACTCTAGGAAAATTTGACTCAAAGTCAAATGAAGGAGCACTTTTAGGATATTCTACTCGAAGTAAAGCCTATAGAGTCTTCAACAAGAGATCCTTGAAGGTCGAGGAATCAATACATGTTGTTTTTTATGAAACTGGCTATATTTTTGAGCATGAACAAGAGCAGAAATATGATAAGGATGATTTGGGCCTAATTCGAACGACGACAACCTCAGTCACTCAAGAAGTGTAGCTTTCACGTGATGAGTTACCCAAATCCCAAGAGCCAAGTGCACCACCTCATATTGCTAAGGCACATCCTCAGCATCAAGTCATTGGCAACATCAATGATGGGTTCAAAACAAGATCAAGTAAGGACTTGTATCAAGGTCAGACTTCCTACTTTTCACTTCTTGCTACAGTCTATTTATTCTTAATTGAGCCTAAAAACGTTAAGGAAGCCTTACTTGATGAAAGTTGGTTTCTTGCTATGCAAGAAGAAATGCTTCAATTTGCTAGAGCTCAAGTATGGGACTTGGTTCCTAGACCAATTGGTAAAACTATTCTAGGACTTAAATGGGTCTATCGCAACAAAACGGATGATCAAGGGATAATTAATAGAAATAAGGCTCTATTGGTGGCTAAAGGTTATAATCAAGAAGAAGGAATAGACTATGATGAAACATTTGCTCCCGTAGCGCGTATTGAGGCAATTAGATTATTGTGTGCCTTTGCTCCTCAATGAATTTAAAATTATATCAAATGGATGTCAAAAGTTCATTTCTGAATGGAGTCCTTCATGAAGAGGTCTATGTAGAACAACCCCCTGGTTTGGAAGATCATAGGTTTCCTAATCATTATTTCAAACTTAAAAAGGCTCTCTATGGCCTAAAACAAGCTCCTCGAGCATGGTATGAACGCCTAACTCAATTTCTAGAAAATGAAAGGTTTGTCAGGGGTTCTGTTGATACAACTCTATTTCTAAAAAAGCATAATGATGACCTTATGGTTGTCCAAATTTATGTTGATGACATAGTTTTTGGTGCTACTAATGAAGCTATGTGTGTAGAGTGTGCCTCCTCCATGCAAAAATATTTTGAAATGAGTATGATGGGTGAGCTTACCTACTTCCTAGGACTTCAAATCCAAAAAACTTCAAAAGGAATTTTCATTAGTCAGACAAACTATACTCAGTCAATGTTGACCAAGTTTGATCTTAGTAATCTTAACCCTAGTTCGACCCCAATCACTACCGATATCCAATTAGATAAGGATGAAAGTGGTATAGATGTCGATGAATGTAAATACCATGGGATGATAGGCTCACTACTTTATCTCACAGGAAGTAAGCCATACATTATGTTTAGTGTTTGTATGTGTGCTCGTTTTCAGTCCAAGCCTAAGGAAAGTCATCTTAGTGCCGTTAAGCGCATCTTCCGTTACTTGAAAGGTACACCCACTCTAGGCCTATGGTATCCTAGGGAAACAAATCCTGGGCTTATGGGGTTTAGTGATTCAGACTTTGCCGGTGGTAGAACGGATAGAAAAAGTACCTCCAGAACCTATCAATTTTATGGTCGATCCTTAATTTCGTGGTTTAGTAAGAAAGAACACTCCGTAGCACTTTCCACCGTCGAGGCTCAGTATATTGCCGCAGGAAGTTGTTATCAACAACTTCTATGGTTAAGGACTCAACTAGCAGACTATGGGATTATACTTCCTACCGTCCCCATTTTGTGTGATAATACGAGTGCCATAAATATGTCCAAGAACCCGTTTCAACACTCTAGAATGAAACATATAGATGTTAAATATCATTTCCTTCGCAACCTAGTTCAGAGTAAAACCGTGTCTATGTCATTTATACCTACGAGTGATCAACTAGAGGATATTTTCACTAAACCACTTCCTATAGATCAATTTTTATTTATTCGAAGTGAGTTAGGAATGATTTTCCAATTCGATCTTGCTAGTTTTGGATCCTGAACTTACCTTCTCTTGATTGTTCGTTTGCTTCTTTATCTTTCCATTTGTATTGGCCTAGAATCCTATCTAATAATTTTTTTTTGCTAATAAGTCATAATAAAAACATAATAACATTAAAAAAAAGGAAAAACAAAAGAAAAATAAAAACGGCAATCCCACCTGCACGAAGACCTCGTCCTTTCCAGCGACTGGTCTCGAAGTTTCCACTGTTAACCCTTTCCCTTTCTTCTATGTTCGCGATTCTCAATCGCATCATCCTCGCCGATTCTCAATCGCATCTTATCTTACTCAAAATCTCTGCATTCCTTTTCAATCGCCGATTATGATCTTCTCAAGCTCTCCCGGCGAAAATGCCGGTTCTCCATTTTATATATATGTGTTTCCTCTCCGATGACTCGTTTTTCATGACCAATAATCTCTTCCGCCGCCAGCAACAAATTCTTTCCTACACCGGTGCGATGTACTACCATCCCGTTGGCGAGAATCATCATTGTCATGTTCAAATCTTTGCTAAGAAGCCCATCCCGCTGATCAACACTCTGGATCCCTATACCTTCGCCTTCATCGATTCTGTGGATCCAATTTCCCTCATAGACAATCTTGGGTGGATCCCAATGGGGGATTCCCCACCTCGCATCTACTGTCAAGCGGCAGTTCGGGCGTTCTTCTCCAATCTCCGAACAGATGGCCTAGAGATAGGGTAGTTCACCACTTTGGTGTTAGGTTTATTTCACGTAGTGTTTAGCTTTGTTTGAGTTCGTTTAAGCCTATAAAAGGCCTCATTTGTTGAGTCAAAAAGCTTGACTTAGCAATTCTATTATCTTAGGATATGTTGCTTTGAATATGTGTTATTATTTTAGACTAACAATCCTTGTAGAAATATCACAATCCTGCCGGTTTGAGATAGCTTCCTGGGACATCTCAAACAAGGTCTTCCAAGCCGAGTCGATCTCATCCAATTCCCACCCTTGGTTTAGAAAGTGTTCTACTTTCCATCCCAACTCGAATCAACATCTGGATGTGTCTCAAACTCCAGATATTAAGCTCCAACAACACCTTGATCTCGTCATTAGTCTTAGCCAAAAACACGAAGATTCTCAGTTTGGACATGGCAGTTTTGAGAGCTTCAATCATGGCCCTCCAGACTTCATCTTGAACATCTAGGCCATCCACATTGTAGAGGGATACTCTACCTTCAAAACAAGCCATCAAACTTGAATTTCCATCGAGTGAATTGAAAGAACTGAGCCTCCAAATTTGGTACCCTAAATCGTAAAAAAGACGGACAAATTTTAGGTTCAATAATGCTTGTTGACTTGCCCTCTTTGACGATCAATCCTGGATGGAAATGAATTGATTCAAGGATTATATCACTGTCATTTACCATATTCATCATTGTGTACCACAAGTTACCAATCCTATACCAGGGTGGTATGCAGTTGTACAAACTCGTTTCATCTACGCAAAATTTTCAAAAATCGAGTTAAAAACGAAGGTGGTATGAATTATTTTTGTCGGAGTATATTGAAAATGGATCGTATTTTACTTATCACAACTAACTCATTCTAGTTGTCCCAAAAAAATTGGGAAATCAAAGATAAAACGAAAAAAAATAAGAACGGCGGTTCAAAAAAATAGAACAAATAAAAAACCACTAATTCTCATCTTTAAATCTGTACTTTCTGGCTCCACTCAAATCTAAAAATCCATATTGAATTATGCACCATATCACATACCTAATTTCCGTCCTATTATCAGTCAGCAAGTTGGATTGATTTAGAACCAATCTTGATCCTGCACACAATGGGAATATATTGTTCGATCCTGCTCGACTTAGTTATATTATCTCCTACAATAATTTTCGTCCTATCTAATAATTATGTCAGTTAGCTAATTGCTTGATTTGGAACCTGTCTTGATCCAGCAAATGAACATATATAGATATGACCATATGGGAATCAAGGGCGAACATGTCTTCTTTCAATTAGCTAGTTGATTAATCTAACCGATTTTTTTTTATAAAGATGAATGATTGGACCAAGACAAACAACCAAAAGAGAGAAAACAATAAATTGCTGGGAGTAGGAGCATCATGCATACACCCACCCGCAACCACCATATCATTTGTTTCTAAAAATGGTTAATCTGACAGCAACTTTTTTTGACATTTTTACAAAATGTTTCTAAAGAGAATTAATTTGACAGTAACTCGTTTGGGAGGAGCATTTTGATTTATTTGGTTTCTTTCAGCATGGAGACGGCCACGCTAATCATATCAAGTGCAAAGAGATGGACATCTTTAGCAACGAAAGTCCTCGTCGCAGAAAAAAATCATTTTATTTGTTATGAATAGAAATAGTTGGTATCAAAATCGAAACGGTTTGCTCTAAGAAAAACCTTTTAAGTTTGTTAACACTTAACTTTACGTAATTTCTACCATCTTGTTCACACATACTAAGCAATCTAACATTGTACTATTTCTAGTATCCCTCACTAATTTTACTATTTCTAGTATCCCTCACTAAAAAAACATAATCAAATTTCAAGATGAAAAAGAAAAATCACATTTGCAATAATGTGAGATGAATAATGAATAACGAACTCTACACAAAACTAATATGCAAATCATGAGTAACACCAAAAACATTTTTGCCTGTGCCTAATTGCTCAGCAGGCTGGACGGTAATTTGCATTTAAAATCAATCGATAAAAAGAACAAATTTCTACCGTATGTTCAAAGTTCTAGTAAATACCTACATTAAAGGCATACATCCGTTCTCTCATTTTCGTTACTTTTTAGTTTGTACCAATTTACTTCCTTTCTTATCTATAGTCAAGATCCATCAATGAACATCTCTCTATCCTTCTCCCTCTCCCATTCCTATATTCTATGCCTCCTCTCTCTCTCTCGCTCTCTCTATATATATATATGATCCAACAGTACACAAGTTAGTTGGTTTCCCTATTTGCAAGCATGTATATTAATATCAATTCGTGACATACAAAATTAACTTTTAGGTTTGTAATTATCCAAATAACATTATTCATTGAACAACTGGAACTTTATATTCTAATTTTCATGGCCAAAGGTCATGTTCTTAAATTCCAATAACTCCTAATGATGATGTAATTTACGCACATTATATGACAAATTTATGCAACTTCTAACTCACCAAATATAATTCTTTTCTATTTTTATATATTGCTTTTTGTTGTTGTACTTCCTTTTTTTACAAGGGGTAACAATTTCATTCAAACACAAAAGACAAACTTTACAATAAAATTTAGTATGTGATTATTCCAATTTGAGAAAAGTTTGTTTCGCCTTATTATTATCTTCATTTATTATTTGATTGAATCGTAGCATCTTCAATTTCATGAATTCCTTCATTCTTTACTTAATTATGTAAAGAAAGTCCATAACTTAATTCATTATTATTATCTTCTATCAATTTGTATTACACAAAGTTTCGTAAGGTAAGTTCAAAACAACTGTAATTACATTAACTAAAATATTCACCATATCAATTTGCATTATGTAAAGATTTCGTGAGATAAGTTAAATTTTACATAATTATTTAATCAAATGTGACAATTTTCATAATTTGATATTATTAGGCCAAACATTACATATAATTTATCTTACACAAACAAACTTATGGAATAATAGTTATTTTTTATTTAACAATGAAACAAGCTTTAATTATATTAACTACAATATTCATCATATAATCCATTATGCACTACACAAAGGTTTTGTAATGTAAGCTAACTTCTACATAATTGTTTAATCAAATATGATACGTTTTGTAACTTGATTGTATTATTATACCATAAGTTATGAAATATTTATGTAACACCATTTATAAAAGTTAATTAAATAAAAATATATTATGTCAAACTTATGGAAGGATAGTTTTTTTATGAATGGAATGATAGTTATTTCTTATGTATCAATTAAATTAAATGTGATACAGTAAGTCTTTCATGATGAATAATACATTACGTAAAGTGTATGGAGGGATAATCATTTATTTTGTATCAATGACAAAATAAATATTACATAGACTTTCGAAGGTAAAAGATAGTGCAAAAGCCATGACAAGGCCCAACATTACAAGAAAGGACTGAAGCCCAAACCCTACAATGAGAACCCCAACAACCCTAACACTCCCAAACTCTACCTTCGATCATCTTTCCTGCACCTCGTCGAAAGTTGCCGTTGGCTCACACGAAGGGCAACATCAATAGAGGAAAAGCACGAGCCAACGATGGAAGAAGCTGGACAACAGGACCCTACGCGAGATCCAACTTGCGAAGGCACACAAAGATCCCTTGGGAAGAGCAAGCTTGAAACATCAATCAAAGAGTGCAAAGAGACGAAAAAGACAGAGGCATACCCTTTTCTCAAACTCATCAAACATGTAGCCGGTAGGCAAACCAATAGGCGCTAGACTTCTCCGAAATACCCTGAACTATTGGGTAAAGCAAGGAGGAGGGTGACAAGATCTGAAAAGGGAGAAGACAAACTGTAAAGAGCTCTCTTTGCTCCCGAGATTGCATGAACAAAACCTCTAGATCTGAAAAATCAGGCTAGGAAGAAGCAAGCCCACCATCTACAAGAGAGTTTGTGGAGAGAACATCCCACAAAGGGGGAAGAAAGGAAAATAGAAAGCAAATTTACACAAAGGGATTGAAAACAGAAACTTGAAACTGAACAACGAAAAATAAAGGCCAAAAGGAAATGAGAGATCAAGCGAATACTGGAAAGAAAGAGTGGCCGGAGGGCTTCCGCTGGTCGTCGAAGGACAACGGCAACAACCCCCAGAACCGGTTGATAAAAAAGGAGTTAGAGAGAAGTCAGAGAATTAAAATTTAGAGAGAAGTCAAAGAGTTTTTGGATTTTATTACTAGACCATACATTAGATTATATTTACATAACATCATTCTAACAGTAACGTAAATTATAATACATTACGGGGTCGTTTGGAGGTTGAGATTTGAAGTGAGATATTTAGCAAATACATGTAATGATAAGATTAAGTCGTTTTTTAGTTCACTTTGAGTTAAAATCATGTATTACCTTTTTGCTGTGCCCACTTACAATCACTCAGAATGAGTGATTATTAATCTTTACCAAAAGGCGAGATTGTTAATAAGGGATTGTCTCTCCTACTTTTTGTTTTACTAGTGCCACCCACTCCAAACAAAGTATTTTTCTAATACATGCATTGAATCAATACATCAAATGATAATACACAAATTGATCAATGCATTTATTTGGAGAATCTCAACCTCCACATAAATTCTTTAGCAGCTAATGATACATTTTAAAACAGTACAAATTGATACGTTTTAAAACAGTACAAAATTTGTAAACGCATCCAAGTATACAAGTAATTTAAAGATATAAAATGAATTTTTACTATAATGTTGATCACTAATTATATACGAAAACTCGCTGAAAGCTAGAGTTGCCAAAAAGGTACCAATTGATAATTAGAAACATACGTTAATACATCATATGAATTCAAATCCGATCACCCATCACCCGCTGCATAGCGCGGGTCTTTCTCTAGTTATTCATTAAAAAATCATACATTTGGCAACAACTTTTATAGTGAAGAAAAATCTACTGCAGATATTCAGTTTTCTTGTAGTGATGAGACATCATACTACAAATCTATACAACATAACAAAAAAA